CAGCTGTGTGCTGCTTCCATCAACACCTTTGTTTATAGATGTTCGAGATTGGCTTGTTTTTCATTGTAGTGCTGTTTCTCTGGCTGTAACTAACTGGATGTGCTCTCTTCATCCTCTGACATGGGAGCTGGCTCGGAGCTCGTCTATCTCACTGTGTGTTTCCTGGAAAGGCCACCTGTGGAGCTGGTTTACAGTCACCTTTTGTATCTATGCTTCCTTTTCTATGTCTGCTTCTGTCTCCTTGAACCCCAGTCGGCTGCTGGAGGTTTCTTCCTGTTAAAAGGGAGTTTTTCCTCTCCACTGTCGCTACAAGCATGCTTAGTGTAAGGGATTGTCTTCAAGTCAATGAGTTGATTCAATCAACTGGTTTTCCTTGGATAGAAAACTTTGAATCAATTTGACTGGATGATCTGGATGGAGTAAGAGCCTTGAGATGACATTTTGTAAATTTGGCGCTATATAAATAAACTGAATTGAATTAAAAGTCCCTTAATCAGAAAATTAATATTTAAAAAAACTCTCCGCATTTATTAGTACCCCTGGTCAAGACGTTAATCACACACACCTACACACACAGCTGTGTTTTCATGACTTATGGAGACATTTCATTGACTTACATTCATTATCTATGGCCTAACACAGCGCCCTAACCCTAACTCAAAGAACAGAACTTTATCATATGGGGACCAGGATTTTGGGAGCTGAATCAGGAGGAAAAGAAGTCTAATAATTTTTTTTATTTCATCTGGAAATCAGGAAACTGTTTTATGATTTTGGATTTCTAAATACAAAACAAAAATGGAATGGCCAGTATGTGCAGGAACCATTTTTCCAAAACTATAATCAAATGAATTTAAAAGAAATGTTACTAAAACCATTTCTTTATTCTATATTTTACCTTTTCAAATCAAGGTTTGGTTTTTCAAAACTGTCTGAACTTACGGGAAGACGTGTTCATAACTGTCTCCAAAGCTGTAAATGTTGAAATAGCAGCCGTTTGGTAAACTCTTCAACAGGAGCAACAGAGTATCCTAAAAGGAAAAAGGAAAGAAAGTGAATACCACAGTATGACAGCGGTGCTGTAAGTATTGAAACGTTCCATCTAAAATATTACCTTGGCACTTGCAATACGACTCTCATGACTTCCACAGTATAAGGGGAAGTCCATGCTGGCCGATCGATCCAACAAGAACACAAACTCTCCACTGGAGTTACATTTGGACATCACAGATTCTGAATATTCAGGATACAAGCTCACCATTACCACCGGATCACCCATCACAGAGCCTGAAACAAACCATGGATGCCAGGTCAACTCAGATTTGTGCTATTTCACATAGAGATGACATAATTCATCTATTAGTAAAATAGTAAACTAATTTAGTAGTCAAATAGCTATTAAAGGGAATATATAGACCTTCAAACACGAGATTTGTTGAAAAAACAACCAACAATTAGAGTAGAATAGAATTCAACTTTATTGTCATCACAATGTCACAAGTACAAAGCAAAGAACTTCACCATCTGCATTTAACCCATCCTCTTGGAGAAGAGTGGGCTGCCATTGTGCGGCGCCTGGGGAGCAGTGTG